CTGGGTGGAGTTTACTTTTGAGTGATAAGAATTTTCCAGGCACACTGCACCATCCTGTGAATATGCTAAAAACATTTATTAATAATTGCTTACTTTTTATGAGCGAATGGTATGGTATGTATTTATATATCAAATAAGCTATTTTTTAATTCCTAAGGGTAAATGGCATAGTTTCTTTTTTATTTTTTAAGGTATTCTTAGGTTAGCTTATGTATATTGTGTATGCTTGCTTCTTAGGTTAGTTCATGTATCTTAAGTTAGCTAAAAAAAAAATAGCAGTGTTAAATTTTGCATTGTCAGTATGCATATACTTCCTAACAAAGTTATAATCTGAGAGGGCTTTCCCTGTGAATGAACTGCAGGGGCATCTGAATGCAAGTATTAATGTATATTAATGTATATTAATGTATACATTCTCACACACTGAGTGACTTTGTTGGCTCCTAGAGTATATATATATTCAGTACCAGGTAGAAAATGATGACTAATTTGATAATTGCAGGGCAATAAAAGTGAGACTTAACATTGTTTTAAAAAAATATACCATATATAAATTACTTTTCAAAATTAAATCTGTTTTCATTCATTATTTTTTTCTTTGCTTTTTAACTTCATTAAAAAAATCACAAGCACTGAGATGATTACCAGCTTGTGATAGGAAAACTCCATATGAAAACACCAGATAGAAATACTATTTTCTTGATCTATTAGGCATTCTGTGGTCCTTACCTACAAAGTAGTCAGCATTTGTATTTTAAGCAGCCTTGATACTTCAACCCTCACATTAAAAATGAACTTGTATTAAAATATTAATAGATACTGTTTCTATGCTAGATGCCACAAGGGCTCCTCCAAACACACACAGGCATGTGCACACACACACAGACCCACACATGCCTGCTCACATACTTGCCTGTTTTATTGTTGTTGTTCAGTCACCCAGTCGTGTCCAACTCTATATGATCCCATGGACTGTAGCAATACACCAGGTCTCCCTGTCCTTCACCATCTCTGGAGTCTGCCCAAATTCATGTCCATTTAGTTGGTGATGCCATTTAACCATCTCATCCTCTGACGCCCTCTTCTCCTCCTGCCCTCAATCTTTCCCAGCATCAGGGACTTTTCCAATGAGTCATCTGTTTGCATCAGATGACCAAAATACTGGAGCTTCAGCTTCAGCATCAGTCCTTCCAGTGAATATTCAGGTTTGATCCTCCTTTAAGATCAACTGGTTTGATCTTGCTGTGCAAGGGACTTTCAGAAGTCTTCTCCAGCACCACAGTTCAAAGGCATCAGTTCTTTGTCATTCTGCCTTTACAGTCGTTACAGTCCAGCTCTCACAACTGTACGTGACCACTGGGAAGACCATAGCCTTTAATATACAGACCTTTGTTGGCAGAGTGATATCTCTGCTTTCAGTCTCTATTACCCACCTCAGAGCTTAGGGTTGCTCTTGACTGCTGTTCTGGAATGCACCATTTGTAAATTACTTCCATAAGAATATACACCGTGATTTTAATTCAAAGCTCCAGCAGATTTTTAGAGCAATAAACCATGGTGAGGCTACCTAGAAAGTATCTGATCTTGGCTTCTAAAATTGTTTGTTGCTCTTCGGTCGCTAAGTTGTGTCTGACTCTCTGTGACCCTGTGGACTGTAGCACGCCAGGACTCACTGTCCCTCACACTCTCCTCTCATCTTCTGCCGCCCTCTTCTCCTTTTGCCTTCAACCTTTCCCAGCCTCAGGGTCTTTTCCAGTGACTGGACTGTATCAGATGACCAAAGATCTACAATTAAGGCGGGCCAATTATCTGCTTGTATACCTGCCTGAATATGTGCTTATCTACCTGCTTTAGCCAAGTGGAGCTAGTGGAAAGTTTGTTTTACGGTCAAACATCAATTATATTTTAAATCTTTCTCTTTGTATGTGGATGTAGTTTTGACTTAAATCTCCATTTGTATGTTTGGTGGTGTATACTTGGCATAGTCCCAGCCATTGTAGAATCCAGCGAGTGGAGTAAGACTTGATTACTGCCCTTGTAGACCTTCTGCTTGGGAGATGCATGGCCATGTTGCATGGTAGATTTAAGGAAATACATTGGTGATAGCAGGAACAGGTTGCTGAGGCATCACGAAATAAAGAAGTCATCCTTTATACCGGAGAATCTGAAACTCCAAACTAAACCTTAAAAATAGAGAATTTTGAAAGGGGAAGTAGCCCAAAGATTATTCATTTGTTGTTCAGTCACTCAGTCGTGTCCAATTCTTTGTGACTGCATGAGTACAGCACACCAGGCTTCCTTGTCCTCCACTATCTCCTGGAGTTTGCTCAAACTCCAAGTGACGTCCATTGAGTCAATGATGCCATCCAACCATCTCATCCACTGTCGTCCCCTTCTCCTCCTGCCCTCAATCTTTCCCAGGATCAGGGTCTTTTCCAGTGAGTCATTTCTTTGCATCAGTTGGCCAAAGTATTGGAGTGTATGTAACCAACAGTATTAAGTGAGAAGAGGGACAGAAGGAAAAACAATACAAAAAATATCTACTTGTCTCTTTGGGTTATGTTAATATACATTAAGTTGTGGTTCTTCTAGTGGTAGAAGTATAGACTTTATGCAAGGGGCGAGCTTATTTTTATTTTGTGTTTTAGAATCTACCTTTATGAAGTTACAAAGTCTGTAGTATGAAGCTGAAGATAATTACTGTTGGGAAATCTTACTTTGAGAGCCAAAGGGGGAAAAACCCACCAAATTTATCCTGCTTGTTTTCTATTAACGTTTTAATTTGAAAATTGTCATACTGTAATAGGGCAATGCTTCATCTAGTGAAGTATCCTGTTTATACTAGAAGGGCCACCCTGAGTGTTTCCAACAGAAACTGCACCCTTTCTGGCCCCAGGTCATGTTCACTGGGAATCCCTTCCAAATTTATTTTTTGCAAATCAGTACAAGTTATCGCTCCTTCACTTACTAGTTAAGGAAGCTGCCTTGTTGAAAAGCTATTCTGTTTATTGGTGCTTCATTAACATGTATGAAAATGTGTTACTGTGAATTTTAAACATTCTCCAAAGAAGAAGAACATTAGATAATTTATGTCTTAAATGCTAACACATAAGCACTTTACTGGGTTGTCTTATTCTTACCATAGCCCAGTAACCCTATGAGGTGGGTATTACCACTGTCTTCATTCTTCAGATAAGAAAACCAGTGCACAGAGATTAAGAGTAGAACTTTAATTCACAAATTGTGTTACTTGTAAAGGTGTCTTTTTTTGCCACAGTATGTATGTTGCAAGTTAGCCAAAGCTGAGTCCTGCCCCTTTAGAAAACAGAGATTTTTGTATAATTGTTTTTTTCACACTGTTCAGGAATCTTGATACTCAGGTGTAAAAAACCTGACAGACGAAGAATCATAGCAGGAGGCCAGTGTATCTACTGAGTCAGTAGTGGTGATAAGTGTTCAGCCCTGCCTCCCGTAGCCTTATAAATGGTAACCTTGAATAAGGAGGTGAAGAGCCTTCTGACTAAATACCCAGCCAAGAAATGTAAGTTTTGTGAAGGAGAACTTCAGGTAATGTGTTAGCCAGTTATTTTGCTGCCAGATAAATTCTTGAACTTCAGTTCCAATTTAGTAATCTATGTTTAACACAGTGTGTTTGTGTGTGTTAGTCACTCAGTCGTATATCCCAATTAATTCCTGAAAGAGAAGGTCCATAAAGGATATCCATGAGTAATATAATTTGGTTATTTGAATTTCTTAATCAGAAGGATTTTTTTAAACCAACTAAGCCGCTCCTGAGAAACTAAGTCGCATGAGTTTGTCATTCTTTTCTTCCACTTTGGTCAAAATACTAGTATCCATAGTCAGTGGAAAGAAAATTAAAGGACAAAGGGCATGGGTGATACATATATATGACTGAGCCCTGAATAGCAAAGAGGCAGTCACCTCTGTGGAATTAGGTGGCTCTTTGACTCCACAAGATCCCTCAAAATGCTTTTCTAATGATAAAATTAGACAGCAGATGTGAGAGTGCAGTATGGCACTTTGAAAACTAAAATCACTGGACACATGAAGTTATTACAGAGCAGTTCCTGCTTTGGCTTGACCTCTTTCGGACCGTTAGCGACCACTCTCTCCCTCTCCTCCCTCTCTCCCCCCTCCCCCCCCACCAGTGATGGGCCGTAAGTTCGTCATATTTTCCTTATTGCTCACATAAATGGTTTCCTTACCTCAGTTTTCCTTTTACCATTCTTTTTCCTGCCCACTTCATATCCTTGGAGGAATTTAGAAAAATCTATGTATTTCCTAATGATTTCACTCAAACCTGCTCTCTTTAACTTTGCCAGACAGATCTTCTTCCTGCTCTTCCTTTCTTTCTCCTCTTTGAAACTCTGCAGCTTATAGGTAGATGCCAGTAGGTGACCAGAGGTGAACTGATTGGCGTCGTTGTCTGATCCTGTGCCTTTTGCATGCTCAAAAATAAGTGTTTGCTAACTAACTGAAAAAGAAACAGGTGAGGCACAGATTTCTTTTTCTTCTTTAGTATTAAAAAAAAAAAGTGTTGGCTTGCTGTAAATTTGGGAACTTTATTCAAGTACTCAGGATTCTACAGCTTCAACTGTTTGCCTTAAATATTGTTGTTTCTGCTGCTAATGTAACAGGCCAGAATATTAACACTGCCTTGAGGCAAGGGAGGAGTGGTGCTTATTTTGAAGAACTCAGAAATCTTTTTAGTCTCTAGGATTTACATGAGTTTATCTCTGTTTCGTCACCTGAGAGAGGCAATGACCATGAGGAAATAGCTCTTCTGTTAAATCCTCCAGAAGTGTTAAACTCCCAGATGTCATCCTAGAGTGCAGCCAGTGGACTTCACTTGAGGAGCCTAGAGGATTGGTCTGTTTTTAGCTGTGCTTATTCACTTGCACTTGTGAGAGTTAATCTGAGGGAAACCCTTCTCTGATTTGTTAAAATGATTAATGTTTTCTCCTTCCATTTTTCTCAAGGAAATGGCAAAAATCCTTCATCACCCCCGAGTCTATGCTTTTCTGCACATACCAGTCCAGTCTGCCTCTGACACTGTGCTCATGGAAATGAAAAGAGAATACTGCGTGGCTGACTTCAAAAGAGTGGTGGATTTTCTGAAAGACAAGTAAGTCTGTTAGCACTTAAGAAAATCACCGTTTCTTTTTTCTTTTAAAAGCATGTGGCAAAAATGCACTTATGGTAGCCACAATTAAAGGCACCAGAGAGAGGTGAGACTTTTGAAGCTTTCAAAGCCTTTAAGTTTTCCTTAGACACCCTTGATGTGGTTTCTTCTTTCCTCTCAGTTTTATCCACCTTCCATCTGTGCATCACACACCATTAATTTGTGTGAGGTTGCCGGTCTTCCCAAGGTAATGTGCATTGTGATCATTTCTGTACCTGACCTAGAAGATGAAAACTGCTTTAGCTTTGCTCTGCTTACATCTCCTTTCATGTGGTTTTTTGAAGTTGTCAACTGTTTCTGACATGGAGATAGGTCAAATCATGTCACTACAAAAGAGATAATTTTCTACGAAATAACATTTTTGGAAGAGTATCTGGGAACGTCTTTGCTTTTACACACTTACCCCTGTAGTTTTCTTGAAGAATAGAGCTTTATAAGGAGGTTTTGAGAGTCTGTTTTTTTTAAAGTTCAAATTGCCATTGACCAAAATTAAGGCATATTTACACAATCTCAGACATGAATGATAATTTTGCTTCCACAGAAAACACTTGCAGCCTATAATTATATTCTTAAAAATCCTACTTCTCATCATCACCAAGGGTTGAATGCCTTCTATGATTATACAGGGCAGGAAATAGTGCCGGCCAAGGTCATTCGAACGTTCTCAAGTCCAGGGCACTATTCTCCCCTTGGGGAGTATGTCATTTATCTTGGCATATTTGTGGCATGGGTCTGTCTACTTTCCATAATTTTTTTCCCATAATTTTTCCTCTGTTGTTTTTCTTAATTAAAATACAACTCTTTATTTCCATCTTGTTTATAATTATGTACCTTTGTACCAAGTACTACTGGATATGATTGCTTTATACAAATTGTAAGCAATTATTTTTTCCACCTTCAATTAGTCACTTATCCTGACTACATATGAACATTTTTCTTCTGTTTACTTTCTCCTTCCTTCCACATCTTCCCTTTATGTGTCTAATTTTTTTTTTTTTCACCTCTAGGCGTTTCTTGATTATCCTAACCACCAGAAATAAAGACACTTGGTTTGCATTCAAGCAAATCCAGCTAATTGTTCAAATATTCAAATCAGTAAATGGAAAGTATACTTATTCTAGGATTTCATAATTATAATCATTAAGTATATACAACCTTCAAAGTAGAAAACAGAATAATGATGAATCACTAATACTTCCTGATCTTGAGAACTGAGGGCAATGCTAAAGAATAAGGATTTTTTTTTTTTTTTTAAGAATAAGGATTTTTATGTTAGATGTTTGTTGTTGGCCTGTGTCCCTCCTTTGAATCTGTTCTAGCTTATTCTAGGTAAAGTTGTCTCATGTGCAGACAAGTTTGGGCACACCAGTATTGGTGAATGTCTTGTTTTCAGAATTACAAATAAATTATTGTGATATGTGCTGTGCTCAGTTGCTTGGTCGTGTCTGACTCTTTTGAGACCCCAAGGACTATAGCCTGTCAGGCTCCTTTGTCCATGGAATTCTCCAGGCAAGAATACTGAAGTGGGTTGCCATTTCCTCTTTGAAGGTATCTTCTTGACCTAGGGAATCGATCCAGAGTCTGCTGCTTTGGCAGGAGGATTCTGTACCACTGGGCCACCTCGGAAGCCTCAAATAAATTGTTAACACCTGTGAAATTTCTTGCCTCTTGCTTACTAGAGCAGTAGCAGGTAATGCAGTAGCAATAGCAGATAAGCACATGGTTCATACGTTTGCACAAGATTTTGCCGAGAGCAGACATGTAGCCTATTGTGCAAAATAGACAAGAGCACTTTCCAAATAGTTTTATTAATGTGATTCAGTGAGGTAGAGGAATCAACAGCTTCCTTTGCCTCCATTTGGGTGAGTGCTAACTCAGTTGTTTGGGGGAACTACTGTGGCTGCTTAACTGAGCAACAATCTCCTGACAAGTTCTAGCTTTTTATGCTACTCCAAAGATGGACCTTTTAAATCTGTTGCCTCTTGAACACTTTCAGCAACATCCATGAGCTAAATAGGGGTCAAAAGATGGATGACATCAAGGTATTAGAAAATAGTGCTGAGCTCATTTTTCTTTCTTTGGATTCTGAATTACTCTGAGGCATCCACAGAGGTTTTCTAGAATTACCCAAACTGTCTAGAAGACTCCAGAACCTACTCAGGAATCTCCAGGATTTCCAGCACTAGAAATATCAGAGGTCCCTACAAGAGGGAATTAGAGATTCCTGGAGAAGATAGCCCATCCCACCCAGCCATCCACAGTTTCAGTTTCAGGTACTGTGAATCACTGGAACTGGAAAATACAAGTCTAGCCAGTTGGGATCTAAACTTCTTTTTAAAATTAACTCTTGTACTATTTATAGTTTTAGACAGTTCATCAGAACCAAAAAATTGTATGTTTTGTCCAAACTGTCTTCTTGCTTAGACTAGTATAGGCTCACTCTTGTGCAGACTCTAATCTAACTTTACTCTTGAGTAGAAAATTTTTCCTGTCCTCTCAGTCCATCTATCCAGTGAATCATTTCCAGTGATGATGGATATATAGAAATAAATGAAATATTTTAAGCTCTGACATTTGCTTATTTTTCCCTATAAAAATCTAGCATAACTTCAAGCCAAATAGAGTCCTGCTTCTTGGAAACACCAAAGTTTCATGGATTTCTATAGAACAGTAGTCTGGGTAACTGATGCAGCACATAGTTGTTTCATCCAGTGTTTATTAAAATTTAATACAATTTTGTCATTCTTAGAAAGAAGGTCTGATATTACCATGTTACTCCTGTGTTGTTGTTCAGTCTGGAAGTCGTATCTGACTCTTTGCAATCCCATGGACTGCAGCACACCGGGTTCCCCTGTCCTCCACTATCTCCTGGAGTTTGCGAACACTCTTGTCCATTGAGTCAGCGATGCCATCCAACCATCTCATCCTCTTTCGTCCCCTTCTCCTCCCACCTTCAATCTTTTCCAGCATCAGGGTCTTTTCCAGTGAATCAGCTCTTTGCATCCGGTGGCTGAAGTGTTGGAGCTTCAGCTTCAGCTTCAGTCCTTCCAGTGAATTTTCAGGGTTGATTTCCTGTAGGATTGATTGACTGGTTTGATTTCCTTGCAGTCCAAGAGACTCTCAAGTCTTCTCCAGCACCATAGTTCTAAGGCGTCAATTCTTCAATGATCAGCCTTCTTTATGATCCAACTCTCACATCTGTACATGACTACTGGAAAAACCATAGCTTTCACTATATGGCCTTTAGTCAGCAAAGTGATATCTCTGCCTTTTAATATGCTGTCCTGATTTGTTATAGCTTTCCTGCCACAAAGGAAGCATCTTTTAATTTCATGGCTGTAGCCACTGTTTGCAGTGATTCTGGAACCCAAGAAAATACTTCCCTTCTGTTTGCCATGAAGTGATAGGACCGGCTGCTATGTTGCCCTGTTTTGTGCCTCATACTAAATACTTGACAATGGTGCTCACTGAAAATGGTAGGTCTGGTACTTGCCTCTTTTGCTTTTTAGCCTCTGTATAAATGTGGCCCTTTTTATTTGCATCTTGTTTCCTCTGAAGCCTTTTCTGTAATGAGCCTTTAACAAATGAAGAGTCACATTAATTCATTTTTTCTCCAGCAGTGTGAGGCTTCTCAAATAATCATGTTATGAATTAGGGACGAGGCATTTCCTAATCTGTTTCTTCAAAAAAATCCAATCTTTAAAACAACCTACTGCATTTAAGAGTGAAATCCACACTATGGGATTTTACCTGAAGCTGCACGCTTTTAAACTCCTCATTCAGCAGTATTTGTGGTGCCATGTCTCTCAAACAGCAGAAGTGAAATCTTTTTAATTAATTTTCTTTACAGTTGAAATTGGCCCGTGTTTTAGCTAGGAGCAGTAGAAGTTTACATATGAGCCAACTTGAAGCTGATTCATTATTCTCTTCAGTTGGTTGAAAGTTGGCAGCTACTATCATAACAGCAGCTGGATTGAAGATAACCTAGCAGTGTTGGCACTTGTGCAGGCATATGGGACTTTATTAAATCGTGCAACCTTTGCAAAGAAAAGTGTCTGAATTACTTAATGTCCTAATTTAAAACAGCTGGTCATGAGCAGACACTCATATGACTGAAATTATTCTATTCAAATTTATTAATCTAGTTGGAAAATTAACTGTAGTCCTTTGATGTTTTTATTTAAATGAATAAGATGATTTCTTGAAAGATGTAATGGGGTTTATAGGGATATGGAAGGAAACGATATAGAACAAAGCATGAGATGCAATTCGAGTTTTCAAGAGATTTGTGTTTTTATAATTTTTAGTAAATACCTCGTAAATTCGCTTTCATTCCCTGTCACTTTACTGGTTTCTCTGTTGCCTTTTTAAGATAATACTGGGATTTAAGAAAGTAGAAAATTTGAATCATTTACTTTTATTTTCTCGTGTAATTTTAAAGAGTTACCTCCCAATGAGAGAATTTTTCATCATGATATATGAGGAGATTGTAATGAGGGTTCCCAGGACCTTGGGGCCTTAGATATAAACTTTGAGTCCTTCCCCATTTGAGCTGGGTTGAATTTACACAGTCACTCCCCAATGAAAACTATATATTGTCATATATGTTTTAAAAATGATAACATGCAGAGTTCTCCTCTCAATCATGTGTTCTAATGCTAAGTAAAAGAACTGCTTAGTCCTCAGATTCACACATAACGGAACAAGCAAGAATGTCCTATTGATAGATGCCTCTTAGGAAATGAAATAGTTTATGAATTAAAAGACCTAACTGTTTATACAAATTATTTTGTTAAAAGTCCAGTGGCCTTGCGGTTTATGTTAAGTAGACCTTAAACATGAGAGACAAGATCCATCTCCTAGGCAAGGGTGGGATGATTTGAGAGAATAGCACTGAAATGTGTATTACCATATGTAAAATAGACGACCAGGGCAAGTTCCAT